TGTGACTTATTCTTTTTCTTCAAGTATGGCAGTGATTTTATGGACCAGTTAAAAAAATCACTTCCTAGGAAGTATTTTCAGGCTTTTTTTTTTAATAATCCCATAAGCCATTTTTTCTGAGAAGAGGTTGCTTCCTTTGTCATTTACAGAGAAAATGTTTTCCTGGTACCAATTAGCAGAAGGGACTTTTACATAACTTTAGGCAAGTAACTTTAGGCTAACTTTGAAATTAAAATTTACCCTGCAACTGGTGTTTCTGTTTTATGTAGTCCAAGGAATATATGAAGAAAGGAGTACAACATCTCAAGTGTTGACCATGAAACTACAAAAAAGAAAGCTTACTGCACAAATCATAATTACATTTACAGTTATGTACACTTCTGTTGGCTTTGGTACATTTTTTAACAGATTTCATCCTATAAGACATGGTAGAACTTTTGTCATTCACTCTTCACAATGCCTTTTGCTCTTCCAAGTATAGGATTAATGGAAAGTTAATGATATTATAAGAGATAGCTTTATTGTATGCTTTATAACCTAAAAAATAAGAAAAGCTTACTCTTCTATTCATTACAGAAACTGCAGACTATTCCAACTGCATTAATGCAATCCAAATATTTGGCACAAAGGTAGGTGTTTTAACTCTGCTCTCTAAGGAAGCAAATCATAAATATTCATACATATGGCTATTCTCATAGGAAGGCTTCAGCCTTTCCTGCCAAGTAATTCTTTTTCATTTCTTGAATTGAAGTGAAGAATTCTTCTTTCACTGCAAAATTCTTTTTCATTTCTTGAATTTTCTGAGCTAACAATTTTAACAAACATAAATTTGTATTACAATCCACCAAGTTGGTAGGACTTGTGGGACCCTACAAATTACTGTTACACAAAAATATTTGGGGGGAGCAGGGGAGAGATCACCTGATTTACATATTTTCTTACCAAAAAATACAATTCTATCAATAATTCTTTCATGTCTACTACTGCGGATTCTTTGCTTTAGACTATTCCTTCTTCTTATCCTCAAATACATATAAATGTTGTGCTCACATGAAGGCCTTCATAGACCTTTTATGCAAGATAAACAGACAAACTACATTTCAGTCTGACCTGACATTCTCATGCATTCTATACTTATTTTCTTATTTGTAACAAAGGTTCAATGGAATTTCTTCAACCTTTATAACAACAGTAAATTTAACTTCAAATGAACTAATCTCTGAAAGACAGACACATAGGTCCCAGCTTTCAAGAAGTATCACAGACTATTTAAAACTCTCAGAAGTTTTGTTCACTTGGTTTGGCAGAGGTGGAGAAGGTGTGTTAAGTCTACAAAAATGTTCAATAATTTCAGAGGTAAAATCTCTCTCCTGGAGCAAATCAAGTTGCCAATTGGTGAATAAAACATTATCTTTCAGTGGCTCTTAGGTAAACATATCTCTTATTAATTTTCCTTGTTACTTTATCCTATCAGCAATTTTTAGTTCCTACCTATTTTGCGAGTATCTACTAGAAAAATAAATAAAGCCTGAGAAAGTTAGCAAGACAACAAATGTGGGCTTTATACATAGTAACTCATAAATCCAAAGAACATTTCTATTAGATTAATTATTTTCTAGAGTCTGAACAAAATTTGTCATTGTCATAAAGTCTAAGTACAGCTTGCTAGAAAACAACCCTGCTAGGTACAGTGGCTTCCCAGTAACAGAACCAGCAGAAAATATATTTGGAAGTTCTAACACAATGCAGATGGCAACTGTATGGCAAACATTTTTTTAAATGTTTGCTGTGTTCCCTACAACTGCTAAAATCCACCAGCCCCATCCCACTGAACCATCACTTTGGTTGAATCATAAGAATCCCAGGCTGAGGCTAATCTTGTGAGACACACTTTAGCTTAAGAGTTCAAAACCAAGAGTGATGCACAAAGCCTTCTGGTAACCATAAGGAGAATTCTTATTGAAGCATGGAAGCTGCACTTTGCACTTTTGGAGGGAGCTGGAGATTCTTCTATAGTGGTTAAGGTTTTACATTTAACATAGATAGGGAAAAATTCGGTTTATCAAAAAGCCACAAAGCTCTGCTGGGAAAAAGCTGCTTGTAAAATAAAAATGAGTGTGAGTTTATTATGTGAGCATGCCTGCTTTGATGCATTACCAAATCTATTATTATCCTTGCGCTTAAGGTTAAATGTGAAGTAAGAGAGAAAGCAAGGAAAAACAGTTGTCTGAACATGCTCAAGAAATCCTGTATACCCAGCTTATGCTTAAACCCTCCTTAGTTAAAGCATATTACTGACACTTGAGTTCCTACGGCCATTAGATCTTCCCTTTTTAAAACTTAAAATATTATATGTGAAATAAATGTGATCTAGACTAAAGAGAATTGCTGACACATGCACTCAAGAATAAAAATGTAAAAAAACCCACAAAACCCCAACAGTTAAGAAAATGTGGAAGTATACCTACTGAAAGCATACAATCAAAAAATACAGACCTTCCTAATAAGAACAGCAAATCTCAGCTCCCATATGCCACTTAAGCAATATAATTTAAAAATAAAATCACTTTAAAAGAGAAGAATATATAAAATATATGTTATAAGTATATGTACAAGTTGAGTAATGAACAAAAAATTAAACAATTAAAACTAAGATACTTTTGCATTTGATGCAGTTACCTACTAAGCTATTAAATACTGGAGTGCTGGTTTTGGCTAGGGTAGAGTCCATTTTCTTCACAGTGGCTGTATTTTGGATTTGTGCAGAGCACACGGTTGATAATTTAGTGATATGTTTGTTATTGCTGAGCAGGACTTGCACAGAGCCAAGGCCTTTTCTGCTTTCCATACTGCCATGCTGGCAATGAATGTGGGGGTGCTTGGGAGGAGACACAGCCAGGAAAGGTGAAGCGACCCCAGCTGACCAGAGGGATATTCCAGACCACAGGACATCATGGTCAGTAAACATACTGGAGGGAGGAAGGAGGAAGGGGGCACATTTGGAGTGATGGTGTTTGCATTCCCAATTTGTGACATGTGATGGGGCCCTGCTCTTCCTGGGGATGGCTGAACACCTGCCTGCACATGAGAAGCAGTGAATTAATTTCTTGTCTTCTTTTGCTTTTCCTATAAACTGTCTTTATCTCACCTATGAGTTTTCCAGCTTTTACTCTAAGTTCTCTCCCCAGTGCTGCTGTTGGGGGAGTGAGCAAGCAGCTGCATGGGGCTTGGCCACTGGCTGAGGTTAAACCAGGACAACTGGATAGAGGAAAAGATGGTATGCCTCTTCCAAGAGAAATGACAACACTTAACAGTGGTCACAGGAGCGAGGTCTGAGAAACTGCTGGGCTAACCCTCCCCCTCAAGAGCCAAAGACAAGAACCTTCAAGCTGAAGCGGGAGTGTTCAACAGCAGCAAGGGGATTTGGCAACATTTCCCAGGAGGCTCAGGTACCTGCCACCTTACAACTCACTCCTGTGCCACAGGACAGGATTCGTTCTGCCCCAGTCACCAAACCTGATACTTCTTTATATCTGCTAATGCTACACATCTGTTCATGCCATATCATGGGGTTATCCTGTCACTAAAGAGCCCAGAAACTGATATGAGAAAGAAGCAATAAGATTACATTTATCTACAGGAAATAATAAAACAAAATTTTAAGCTGATAAAATTTAAAAAAAAACTTGAAAATATCATAGACCAAGAAAAAAACAAAACCCTACAACCTAAACATCCATTTCAAATAAGACAGCTCTCTGATGGTATACCTAACTCCATTCAAGTAGGGATTGATACAAGGACAAGAGGGTGGGAGTGTGCATATGTAGTGTTTACAGTTATCTGGGGTAACACAGTTACCTTGGGGTAAGAATCCCAAGGAGAAAAGGAACAAAGAAAGAAATCAAACAAATAAATAAGGTTATTTTAACTATATCTGTTACACTGACAACTTTCAAGACTAAAGGTCTTTTCTTCTCTGCCTTTTTCTAGTTTGATGCAGTCTAAATGGTCAGGGCTTGTAGGAAGATTTTCCAACTACCTTGTAAGCAATGCAGTTTGCATGTTCTCCCAGCATTACACCACAATATTTGAGTGCACAAGCCAAATAAGTGTTCCTACAGGCTACAAGTACAATTAAGAGACCCCTTTAAAAAGTATATCCCTCAATACAATGATGTGTGAGACAATTTAAACAGTGTGGTAATAAGAAGCAGAAAAGACAATATTATTATCATATCAGATGCCAGGGGAATACAAAAGGTACAAATAATCCAATTCTATACATAAAGCAAAGCCAAAAAAATTATTTGGGACTTCATACAGAACATGCCATAACAGATTAATCCCTTGTTAACATATTTCCTTTAATATTTTCTCTTAGGTTTGACAAGTTTCTGACTAAGCCAGCCTAGGTTTTTAACTGGGGAGAAAGTTTCGCTAAAGCTCCAGTCGCAAAAATAAGATCAGATGACCAAGACAATCCTAATTCATCATAGCCAAGGGTCACCCTAAGTCTGGCATAGCCCTACACTTCAAACCTGAGCTGGTGTTGTGCTGGACATCATGACTGCTGTTAGAATACTGACTTTTAGTACATATCCCACCTTAGCCTCCGTCCTCTGAGGCCAAGCTTTGGCAAGATCATCCTGACATCCTGATTTCATTCAGGTATCTTTCAAGAAATACTGACAGCACTTACTGCAGACCAGTTTATTGAAATAGCCTGCATTTATTCTGATCACATCATAGTCTTTGAATAATATAACACCTGTAAAATCGAAGTCAATTTAATATAGTAGGTTAGAAGCTGAAAGCTGTATCTTCAGACAAAACAAGAAAATTTTTAAAAGGAACAAGAAAGAGATTGATTTTGTCAAACAGTGTCTCACAACGTCAGAAGCAACGGAAGATAAATTTAGATGGTATCTACCAAACATGGTGGGGGGAGGAGGGTGAGGAGAGGGAAAATAATGAAATTATGGCTAAAATGAACTTACTTGATTTTACTGAAGACGATGTCAACATCTGTGGTTGTCACATTCTTCCCATCTATGATATTGCAGTCCTTACATAGCTTTGACCAATTCTTCCCATGCATTTCTTTTCCTGTGGCTCTTGTATCACCATGGACAGCAAATTTTCTAAAGGCCTCTTCCAGAGCACTTATTTCTCCTGCCGCAGCTCCTTCATGAGAGTTTGAGTCTGAGGATAACCTTTTTGCTGGTTTTGCCGATTTTTCAGCCATTGTGCTACAAGGAAAAGGAGGGTAAACTTATTGCATTAATTTGCACTAGATTACTTTCTGTCAATCTATGTGCTAGAGTTCATGTCACAACATATGAAGTCCATATGAAGAATAAATGGTCTATAAAGTTAGAAAGAACTCACTACCCTCCACCATCAAAAATCAGTCTAAACAGAGAACTGTATAACTCTCTGCCCATTTGGGAAAAAAAATTCTAGTACATAATAAAAAAAAAAGGTACAGCAAAAAACTAGGGACACAAAACCAGTTTCACCATCATTACATCAGCCACCAAAAGAACATTTAATGTTTGCTTCTTTTTTTTTTTTTTCCTTAAATGGCAATCATCACAGTCACTCTGTTGATTTGAATAGAAGTATGCCCTTTACACTGTAGGCATTACTTGTACTTGTATTTCTGAAGGAAAAATAGACATCTGTTGGGGAAGATGAAACAGGAAAGCCTTATAAATATGGTTGTCTGGCAAAAGATTTTGAGAATATGGAAACTATAAGTGAGATTGAAATGAAAGCAAGCTTTGATATCCCTTAGTTACTGAACAACGGGAAAACAATGGTGTGGCTGGCTGAAGGTAATCCCCTTTCAATGAAACAAGACCCTCTGCTTGCAGACAGGTCCAAGGGTCAGAGCAGACCCCGCTAGCTTGGCAGAAGGGGTCCAAAGAGGAGTTTTCAGGGTTTAAAATGTAACACAGTATGGTAATGTAGTGATTCTTATAGGTTGTATGGAAATACTATAGGATTTGTATCTTGTACTAGATTGGTTAGTGAGAATCAGAATATTCAACACAGAAGATGATTTATTGTATTGTAATGGGAACTTCGCTCACTACTTCTTCTTTTCCTTCCACTTCTTCTTCCTCTTACTTACTTACTTTCCATACTCTTACTCTTGCCCCTTTTACTCTCTTATGCTTTTACGCTCTTATCCCCTCATCCTCTCTACCCCTCTCTTCTCTCGGGCCTGCTCCGAGCTCTGCCTGGCAGCTTCCTGGCAGCAGGGCCCTGCACCCAGGCCTTTTGTAATAAACCACAAGTTCCACGACCTGGCCTCAGAGGTCTCTCTGTCCTGACCGTGCTGACCACCCGTCACTCCTACAGACATCCCTTTATTTTCTGGACTTCAACTTTTAATTTTATTTTTTACTGAAAAATTAAGTATTTTTGAAATGCAACAAAAATATTAATGTTAGAACCCTTATGTTACATTATGTAAGGGCTAATAAGATAAGTCTCTCCTGTTATCCAGACCATTTATTTCTCAAGTTTATGCCCAAAGAACTGTAGCTGTGGAATTCATTTGGAACGAACACATCCATGATGGAGGCATACTGAGAAGGGATGTTGTTACTTCAGACAAGAACTTTGAGACTATTCCAAGTACATATAGTATAGGTTTGTTTTTTACATGAAACCTTAAACTGTGCAACAGAATACTATTTTCAGGTGTCTTCACAAAAAAACCACACCCTGAAGCACCAGAAACATGTCATAGAAACCTTTTTCTTCTGCCCACGCACTCTTGGCATGGCAGAAGATGCACTAAACTAGGGACTAAGAAGCCTAGGCACAGGGCACAGTGCCTGCCTGCCCCAACAAACTGCACACAGACTGTCACCACCATCACATCAGTGGCACTGCTATAAATTTTTAACCCATAAAGAGATGGTTAAAGTATCAGAAATCTGGCAAATGCTAGATAAGGGCTGGAAAGCCCATCATACTTATCCAGCCTTTCTTCTAAAGCCCCAGCTGTATGTGAGATGTGATTAACATATGCAGAGATGGGTAGGTATTTCTAGTTAAGGTTTTATTTTTTCATCAGATAGGAAGTTCTTTTGATTTATATACTGTACATCAGTACAAACGCCTCAGCAAGGGAAAGGGTTCTAAAATTCTATCTCTTCCTATATTGTTTAAACTCTGACACTCAAATAACCATGACATACCCTTCCCTGCACACTGTAACCATAGCTACTTGCTATGAAGCAGTTATTGTTGAAGCTTTTGATTAGAAAGAATCTTTTAATTAAAAACATACTAAAAGGACCTCTGTCCTTCACACCTGAGCAAACATAGCATGGCCAAAACACTACTGCCTTTTTTTGAAAACACCTAAATGCTTAAATCCCTTGCTATATCTTAAGCCGAGGGATCCTTCTGTTTTGTTTACACAGACAGCACAACTTCTGGCCAACAAACCAAAATGCTAAATTAAAATTATTATGACAAAAATTTACTAACTGTAGCCTGAGAATTGTATGTGCACCTATGAAATAAAAAGTGAAGAACAGAGGGGGAAAAAGAGTTTGAAAATGTCAAGTTCATAAAAACGTTTAAAAAGTAACCAATTCCCATTTCTACTTCATTTGTATTCTGCCTACTGTCCAAAGAGGAATTTTACCTCAAAAACCTTATCTGAAAGCATCCCAACACTGAAACACTAAAACAAAAAGTATGCACAGTAAATTGAAAGCTACTACAAACATTAAGACACACATACTTTTACCAAAATGTGTCTAGATCAAATCTTCTGTTTCATCAGACTCTATTCTTTTGCCACCAAAACAGTAGTAAAAGAACATAAGAAAAAAATAAAAATACTATTGACATAACGTATACAACAGAGTATTTCATTTAAAATCAGATCATGAAGATCTATGATGTACCTCTATATACAAGGAAGCTTGACTTCCAAAAGTAGAAGGCTCTTCCAAGCTTGTAGCATTTCAAATCAACTGGAGCTAAAATACAGAGCCAGAAATTTTCCAAGCTAATACTAACTGGCTAGAGAAAGAGAGTACAGATCAGCAAAAACAAAGTCTGTGTAGGATATTAAAAACCAAAGTCACCTTTGTATGCAAGAAACAGGACAGGAAAAGGTGGAAATTTGCAATGGTAAGGTATGTATGGTTTGCAATAGTTTGTAATTTTATCTTGTGGCAAATAAACTTTCCAAGACATTTTCAGGGATAGCTCCTGCTTGCTCTTAGCAATTCTCTTAAGAAGCTATACTCAGAGTGAGTATCTTTAAAAGATACAACAAGAGCACAGTTTACAAGCTATAAACAAGAAAACATCTGCATCACTCTGTCTCATCTGACATTGGAAAATATAACCACATGCCTACATTTTAAAGTATTTCCTGAACAAAATCTTTCCTTAGCCAGTGTCAGTGCCTCGCTGGCCAATTTTCTTTAATGCTTTGTTGTGTATAACCATGAATCAACTTTGCATAGCACAGCAGAATCATGCTTTACTATCTAATACAGTCTTTAATATGACAGCTGTAGCAACTTAAAGATTTTTTTACTTACTTTCAGTAGCTAACATATTTAAACTTTATAAACTTGCTATAGGAAAAATGCTCAGGAACATATTTGGCCTTCAGAAAGATAGTTCCATACTAATTTCTCTCACTCATTAATAAAGGGACTTTGTATTGGGGGTTTTTGAGTAGTTCTGGATCAGGCAGAACAGACACACTATAGAAAAGGCTTTAGTTTTGAATGGTGAAATCTGGTATGCAAAACAAACTCATTTCAAATAAATCCTCACCATCTAAAGCAGAAAGTCAAGGGGAGACTAAAACCAGGGCTCTGCAATGGTTGCCAAATATTATTATGGACACTCCTTGTCAAATCACAATTACAGTTTACTTTTTAAAATCCTATGTAATAGCATGAAATATATTAAAAAAAAAACCTACCTGGATTGATGCAAAAATTATCTAGTCTCAATTTAAACTTTTCTTTCTTAACTCTACAAACAACACAGTGTGAAGTGTTTGTCAACATAATTAGAAGGTGAAGAACTGCACAACACAGGATATGAAATTAGACTTTGGATGGGGCCAGCTCCTTTAACGTTTTTTAGTGATTAGAGATAAGGAAGGAGATCATGTCATGTTGAAGAAACAATCTCTCAAACAGAAATAAAGAATAATCTATTTGACAAAAATTCAAGATCAAATGCTGTTCTGAGTCTTCCTTACCCTTTTCCCCTGGACAAAGGAATCAAAAGGTGCTTGGTAGATTCTGCTAGAAGTAAAGATTACGAGTAAGTTGGGGCAGGGCCACAGTAAGAAGATAAGTGAAAGATGAAAGAAAGTGATTACTCTTGAATACCAAATATAAAATACAGTGAAACAAAATTATACCACTGTTCAAAAGCATGAGCTGTGTAGATGCTGACTACAACAACTACAGCTAACCAAAGAAATGCCTTTTATCACCATCCAAAAAGTCTAGTATGTATAAAATTAGACAATATCAATTTCCAGAGTCAGCAGAAAGAAGGTGGGAGTAGCCACCAATACAATCCTCTCCAAATACTGCATGCTCCAACCAAGCAGGTCCACATTACGAAAAGCAGCCAGATAAGAAAGAAGTACAAGCAGATGCTAGAGTTTTGGAGGTTTGTGAAAGAACAACTATCCTCCAAAAAAATGGAGTTTCAGACACCCACAGAATACTTAGACAGTTAGGTACTGTGTTATGAACTGCTATAGTCTGTGTCCTTTAGCAACACAGAAAAACAGTTCTTGTCTCTTCCCTCACTCTGCAATAGGTAAATAATACAGCACATTATATGGAGATTAAACCAGGGATCAAACTAACGCATGTCAACTGATGCCAGCCACTGACTTCATTACTGTCTTGCGTTATATAGACTGAAAGCGCAGATCTGTGTTCTCAGCACATGCCTAAGCAATTAGAAAAAGTTTTCTAATATCATCAAAGTTCCTTTTAGCCAGAGACTAGAATATATACTCATTTGCAGACAGACTGATAGGCCTCCACTAGATAGTCACTTATTAACCTGGATTCTTCCATAAAACATGGGACAAGAAGTGAATGTTTCTGTGAATTCCAGTTGTCAATTTCAAGAGCTGTGTGAATACCCAAAGCCTCAGTACTAACCAACTTTCAACTCTACTGAAGGACTTATATTAAATTACACTCTTTCACTTATCCACAACCTC